CTGAAGCTACAGTATGAATCTGTTGTTAAAAAAACACAGTAATTTTAGTAGTAGGAGATACCATTAACCTGCCTCATTCTGGATTTTTGGTCAAAATTCAGGAATGGAAGAGATGGGGAGTCGGAAGCAGCTGGAAGGGAAATAAGGATAAGCTATTTACTGTGTACGGTATTTGGAGTTTTTCAAGATGTTTTTTTCCTTTGGGTGCTCCGCCATAGGTGTGCATGTGCCTCAAATTGAGAGATTTTTGGTTGCAGTCTGTTCAGTCCACACATGCATCATAACTATCCTTGTGCCCTGTACTAAGGGTACATAGGGCCGTGCTAGACCAACTGCCACTCCAGTTACATTCTTAATGCAGAATCCAACCACAGCAAGTTTTCCAAAGGAGGTGAAAGGCTCCAAGTGAAAGGCTAATGTCCTTCCAATATCCAGAGTATGTAAACTGACCTCTACCCTAGAAGTAGGGTAAAACACTGGTAACTGTAACTGTCTCTGGCTTTGACCCTTGCCTTGACTCCTCACCCTGTCTCTAGGTCCAGCCCCTGGCTCTGTTTCCTGGCCCCTTACTCCAACCACTAGCCATGCCTCAGTCCTCACATAGTTTTTCCCCACCTCAAAACCTTCCCTGTTCTCTCCCCTTGGGAGAAGGCCTATGCCCAGAGATCAGGGGTTTAAAAACCGTGTTTCCTACCCTGCTCCTTCTCAGTCAGTGGTAATCCTGGGCACAGCCTTTTCTGCCTTGGAGAAGCTTATATCTCCACCAACTGCAGCATCTACTGCTCCTTCCCTCCCCAAACCTGAGAGGAACAGGAGCTTCAATTGAGGAAGTGTCTCATGGAGAAAGCCATGAGATCCCAGTAGGATCCGGGCTGGGAGAACTTAGAGCAGCACCTCTATGAGCATGAGCTCCAGAACAGAGGTCAAATCTACTAAGTCAAAGGACCCATTGTCTTGGGCCTTTCATGAGAGAAGGGGTACACTTAAAATACAGGACCAGGTGCACTTCCAAATCTGTTTCCAAAAGAAGGGATCCCTCCCTGACTCCTTCCAAATCAGATTAAACCTTGTGCTCGAATCCTAAAGACTTATGCCTTTCTAAACCTCCCAACCACAAGAGTATGGCATGCAGAAGCAAGGATCCACTGGTACTGACTCTGGTTCTGACTACTAAGCCAAAAGAGCACCATCTGCTGGCACTGACCATCAGCTCCAGGCAAGAATCTTCTCCCATGGTACTGACTTAACCCCATAAGGATCGGCCAACTGCTAAGCCTGTGGAAGTGCTGGATCTGCCCATACCAACTACTGGGACACCTTGTATTCTTGGATTAATTGAAACTTCTACCTTTCTGGATGGTATCTTCATTTTCCCTACCCTCAATTTCCTCTTCTCCCAAGTCCAGTTCTTCTGCGGATGGTTTTGACACCAAAAGAGGAACCCACCATGAGGAGAAGGAGCTACTCCCCTACTCTGTCCCCAGGCTGGAGTCTACATCTCCCAGTATCACTGTTATCGCTGGATCCAACCTTCTCTTCAGTCAAATCTGACATTCAAGATGAGCAATCCACCTCCACAGAGGCAGATTAGCCCTGACAGAACCTGTCTTGGACCCTCCCTCCACCCAGACACTATTACCCTCTGAGGGACCGATAGTACCCAGTGGAGTCCTCCCCAACCAGCTTTCAAACCATCATACTGGCCCTACTGAGGCCCATGGGATCCCTATGCATGGCACCTTTGATTCATGCAAGAGTGTCACTGACTCTCTTCCCCTAGACAACACCAACCAGCTCCACCTGAGTATGCAGAAGAGGAAGATATTCAGCTGGAACCCCTGGTAGCGGTAGTACCAACAAGCATATCATCTTTCTTACCTGATGAGGTTAGCATCCTATCTTTGTCATCCCTGACTGATGACAACAGGCAATACCAAGAACTCTTGAGGAGGGTAGTGGCTGACCTCCAGATCCCACTTCAGCATAAGCTCCTGGGCATCCTGCAGCCTACTCATCTCAATCAAGTGGCTCTCCCTCTAAATGAGGCCATCGTGGAACCTACCAGGGTGATGTAGCACAGACCTGCATCTTGGACTGCTACACATAAAGGGGCTGAAAGTTGTTTTGTACCTACCAAAAGCAGAGGAATTTTTGTTCACCCATTCGCCCCCAACTACCTACTTGTACAAGCAGCCATAGAAAGATCCAGGCAGCAACATCTCAAGACTACCCCTGCAGACAAGGGTGCTTAATGTGTTGACCTTCTAGGGAAGTAGGTATTCTCACTAACCAGCCTCCAGTTTAGAATTGCTAAGTACCAGGCCCTGTTAGCGAAGTATGATTTTGCGAAGTACTCCAAGTTCCTGAAGTTTAAGGAGTGACTCACTCAGTGACAGACGGTCCAATTTCAAACCCACATTGATGAGGGTAAACTGGTAGCAAAGACATAGTGGACATGGCTAATACCACATCTAAAGCCATAGCAACTGTAAAAGTTATGCGGTGTGAATTGTGGCTTCACACTTTGGGACTCTCAAGGGAGGTTAGAATACCATCAAGGATCTTTCCTTCAAATCTAATCTTTTTAACGAGAACATAAATGAGTCCTTATGCTCATTAAAGGACTCCAGGACAATCCTGCACTGCAATGACATTTATATCCCAGGCCATAAGAGGAAATACCATAAACAGCTGTAGAAGCCAATTCCTCTCCCACTATCTTTCTACCACCTTCTCCATTCAGGCTGTGCTGCAAGTGCCAGAAGGTCCAAGGACCAAAATATGTAGCCTCATGCACCTCGATATCAGCCACGCAATCTCACTCACCAGCAAAGGGTTACTTTTGCTGGGACATTCCAGAGTTGCAAACCATCACAGACACCATCCCCTGCTGCTTCCTAAACCTTTAGTGGCTGCCTAGCATACTACGCCGACAACTAGAGGGCCACAACAATGGACAGATGGGCACTAGATATCATGCACTCTGGCTACATCTAGTTTCTTTTCCAATCTCTCTTCAGAGACCACTCTCACAAGGAAATCCTCCATCACGAGGCAGACTCTCTCCTCACAAGGGGCTATAACAGGGGTAGGCAAACTTTTTGGCCCAAGGGCCACATTGAGGTTGCAAAACTGTATGGAGGGCCGGGTAGGGAAGGCTGTGCCTCCCCAAACAGCCTGGCCCCGCCCCCTATCTCCCCCTCCTACTTCCCGCCCCCTGACTGCCCCCCTCAGAAACTCTGACCCATCCAACCCCCCTGCCCCTTGTCCCCTAATTGCCTTCTCCCAGAACTCCCAGCCTCTAACTGCCCCCCAGGACCCTACCCCCTACTCCCTGTCCCCTATCCACACCCCCGCCCCTGACAGGCCCCCCAGGACTCCCACGCCTATTCAACCCCCCTTCTCCCAGTCCCCTATTCACACCCCTGCCCCCTGACAGGGCCCCCAGAACCACTGGCCACATGTTTGTGAAGGTCACTTTCCTTGTTGCTTTCATGTCAGCCAGAAGGTAAGCTGGGGTCACTCATGGCCCACCCTCCATACAGTACTTTTGATAAAGAGAAGGCATCTCTTCATCTCCACCTGAAATTTATTCCTAAATTAATTTCCAAGTTCCATATCAATCAATTTACTTGGCAGTTTTCTTTCCAAAACCTCATGCCTTTAGCAAGGAGAGGAGGCTTCACCTCTGTCAGATGAGCTTTGGCTTTCTATCTGCAAAGAATGAAACCAATTAGGAAAACCACTTAGATTATTTGTTGCTATAGCAGAATAAACACAGGGTCAAGCAATATTTGCTCAGAGACTCTAAGTGGATTTCTGGCTGTTTCCTCTTTGCTATCAGTGAGCACAGTTCCCTTCCTTGAATGGGATGAGGGCCCATTTCACTAGAGCATAGATTACTTCGGTAGTATGTTTTAGAGAACTGCCTATGCTGAACATTTATAAGGCAGCAATCTGGAGTTGCATCCACACCTTCACAAAGCATTAAGCTTTAGTCCAAGCCTCTTCTGCTGATTTCAGTCTTTGGAACAGCGGTATTACAGAATCTATACCCTCTGCATCTTTGCACCTCCTTCTTTCTTGACTACTGCTTACCAGTCACCCATGTATGGAATGCATGTAGGGACCAGCACTCAGAGAAGAAATGGAAGCTACTTACCTGTAACTGGAGGTTCTTTGAGATGTGTGGCCCCTATATGTATTCCACTACCTGCCCTAGTTCCATTCTGCTTTGGATCATGACTGGATTTGTAGTAGAGAAGGAACTGGAGAGGTGGTCAGTCTGCACTTCCCCTTCCACTTTGGGTGCTGACCACAAGAATCTCCAGGATGCAAGCGTTGACCAATAGACTCTGCTCACAAGATTTTCCAGTCTCAGGTGCACTGTGCTCGTGAGTACCCACATGTGGAATACAGATATGGACCAAATATCTCAAAAAACCTCCACTTACAGTTAAGTAACCTCCATATCTTCTTTCAAGGTGTATGGTGGAAACCCAGTTGCTTTGTACATTTGAATCTAGAATGAATAAATGACTAGAAGTTAGAATGTAGGGAACAATAATGCACTATTAAGGAGGTGAACTAGATGACCCCACTGCTCTTCTTTATCTTTAATTTCTGTGATGCAATAACTCCTTCTGCCAACTGTATTATCCTTCCATATTCCAGTGCTAACCATGCTGGCAAACCTCCTCCAGAGCTATGACATTCGTCATGTTATGTTGCCTTTGTTCTGTGAATCTGAACATCAACATTCTGAGGGTGTTGCCAGTGTTCTCAACAGGTATTGTTGATCGGGAAGGTAACTCACTAAAGGGTGTAAGATATTCCTCATTGCTTAAAAATATTTTTGTAGTTTGTTTTCAAAGGAAAATGGACAGAGAGATGAAACAGCAGAGACACAAGTTTAAGGTGACCAAGGAGTTTCCCCTGAACCCAGAAATTTCTACAGCAGTCCTGGGTGTTCATGTATTTACCATGTGTCCCTCTTTCAGGCTGTGTTCGACATTCCCCTTGCTGCTCAATGAATACCACAAAGTTTCCAGGAAAAACATGGTGGAACCTGAGGAAAACATGCTACAAAATTGTTGAACACAACTCTTTCGAAAGCTTTATCATATTCATGATTCTGCTAAGCAGTGGAAGCCTGGTAAATTTAATTTAATCTCATATCAGGTTGAATTATAAATGACTTTTTAGCACAGGAAAGAGGGTGTATTTTCAAAGCTGATGGTGGGAGAAGAAGAAAACTGGCTTCGCAAAGAACTAACTTATTTTTTATAGTAATTGGAAAATAGAGTAAATCGAATGACAGAATGAGCAACTCTAACAAGCTGTGATGATTTCCATTCTGGTTGTATATTGGTTTTTCTGAAGCTTTGTCTGGCAGTTATTTCACACACAGAGACTATCATTTTTATGTTCATCCTTAAGACCAAAGAGTCTTTCCTGGTGCTAATTCTCTTGGAACATGAAGCTGAATCTACTTTTGAACTAGATTTTTGTATACATCTGAAAAAATACTCCCCTAAAAATTACTGAAAGTAAAACTCCTCAGGACAGAAGTGTAGTGTGTCTGTGTGTAAAAGTTACAAGTTAGTAAGTTAGTGTGAATAAAATAAGTCTAAAGGGAGTTAAGTTTGTGTAACTTACATATTGAGGGGCCAGAAGATTTAATTAACTTTGTCTCCCTCTTGACTTACACTTGCTTAAACTTGGGATATCCTGCACCTTTAAAAGACTTGGTCACTCTGCACTCAATTGCATAGCCTCACTTTTGTGTTAGATTCTGTTTTGCTGCCAGAACATTAAAGCGGACAGCTGTACTTAAATCAGCAGTCCCTAAGTCTATCTTTTTGTCTGCTGGTTCCAAATATAACATTGGTGACAAGGAGCTTCTATCCCATGGGTGTCCAGTGCTCTCACTGCCTGCCCAAGAAGGAGAAAAAGTAAAAAAAATAATATTTAAAAAAGGAAAAAAGTTCATTTAGAGGCACAAGGTAGCAGACTGAAGCTTTTGTCCCAAGAAAAACAGTGTCGACCAGCCAGAAAAACAGGGAAAGTAGGCAAATAGGGCAGAACAAAGAAGGGGGCGGTTGCAGTTGCTGCTGATTGACCAGACACAGAGCAGAGTGAGGATGAAGCAGCCATCTTGGATGACCCCATGCAAGAAGACAGAAAGAGACAGCTTTAGCCTGCAGTGTATACAGCCAGCAGAGGGAGCCCAAGTACTGTCATTCTGCTCTGTCAGCACACAGTCAGTAAAGGGAGATCAAGAACAGACAGTGTATGGTTTAAAAAAAATCAGTGGAAAAGCAGAGATCCAGAAGGGTGTGTAGATCAACAGGATAGAAGTAAAATGGCAACTCTTCTGGGCAATGTTAGTGAATTTGAAGAGAATCGTGAACCATGATTGTGTACTTCAAACATTTTGAGCAATTTATGACCTGCAATTGCATTCCAGATGTACGAGTTTCAACCTTGCTGACAGTGATGGGTCCAAAGGCATACAGACTGCTGCATGATCTACTATATCAGGCTACGCCTGGAACTGCCACATATGCTGCAGTTACGGCGGCAATGCAGGAATATTTCTCTCCTACCCATCAATAATAGCAGAATGATAACGGGTCCATCAGAGGCATCAGGAAAGGGGAGAGTCAGTGACACAGTTTGTTGCTCCTGTAAAGACAGTGCTCAGAGCATGGTCAGTATGGACAAACGTTAAGTGATGCTTTGTGTGACCAGTTTGTCTCTGGTTTACACAAAGACTAGATCCAGAAGAAGTTACTGACTATATCAGTGTTACATTCAAGAAGGCTATTGAGGTAGCTATTACCATGGGAACCACAGAGGATTCTCTGGAATTTAGTATGAACCAAGAAGTACATCTCCTGAATTGGTGAGACAGAGGAGCATGAGAATGTGAGTCATTCCCATGTGGCCACTGTGCACAAACTGCACATGCTAAAAAGGATTGCTGGGCATATCTGGTCATTTAGAGAAAGTGCCAGGAGAAAGGAAACATTGTGGTTACCTGTTGCACCGTTCAACATCCAACAACACAGAGTAACCATCCATCCAAGAGCACATGTATGAAGACTGAACCTAAGAAAGTATAGAAGTTGGGAATTCATAATGTGGAAAAAGTCAAAAGCTCTAGCGGCACTGACCAAACCATAACACTTCATGATTTAGTTGGGGTTTGGTCCTGCTCTGGGCAGGGGGTTGGACTAGATGACCTCCAGAGGTCCCTTCCAACTCTGATATTCTATGATTCTATGTGTTATCGGAAGCTGGAGAAAGAGATGTCATCTGAGTCACACCCTTGATTGAGGGAGTTCCTACAAGAATGGAGCTTGACATCGGAGCTGCCGTCGCACTGATTTCTGCATCTGCCATCACCAGACTTTGTCACAAGTTCCTCTGGAAGAAAACCTCTCCAGTTTTGAAGACTTTTATACCAGGGTAAAGTTAAGAGATACTCCAAGTGAAAGTTCAGCTAGATGGACAATCTGTCATTTTACCTTGTATGCGATTGAAGGAAAGTATCCATCACTATTTGGCAGGACTTGGCTTGAGAAGCTCAAGGTGAATTGGACCAAGATCAAGGTGATCATAAAAGCACCTCAAAACCTTCAAGAAATACTGGACAGACACTCCAAAGTTTTTGAAAAAGAATTTGGACAGATAAGCAACATGTCAGTGAAGTTCAGTGTTAAGTCTAACAGCCAAGCCCAGAGTTGCGCTTTATGTTCTGACGCCTCTGGTGGAGGTTCATTTGGACCGTTTAGTGAACATCAGAGTCATGTTACACACAGTGAGTGGGCTACCCATTGTATCAGTGATCAAGAATGATGGTTCCATTTGAATTTGCAGAGATTTCAAAGTGACAGTGAATCCAGTTTTATGTGCAGACCAGTATCCACTTCCTCGTACCAAAGATTTGTTTGCTACTCTTAGTGAAAGGCAGTGTTTCAGCAAATTGGATTTGTTTAACGCATACCTACAAATAGATTCATAGATGAATAGACTTTAAGGTCAGAAGGTACTGTCATCATCATCTAGTCTGACCTCCTGCATATTGCAGGCCACAGACCCTCACCCACCCACTCCTGTAATAGACCTCTAACCTGTGGCTGAGTTACTGAAGTCCTCAAATTATGATTTAAAAAATTCAAGTTACAGAGAATCCCCCATTTACACTAGTTTAAACCTGCACTTGACCTCTGCCCCATGCCTCAGAGGAAGGCAAAAAAATACTCAGTCTTTAACAATCTGACCTAGGGGGAAATTCCTTCCCAACCCCTACTATAGCAATCAGTTAGACCCTGAGCATGTGGGAAAGACCCACCAGGCATATACCTGGGAAAGAATTCTCTGTAGTAACTAAGAGCCCTCCCCATCTAGTGCCCCATCTCTGGCAACTGGGGATTTTTGCCACATGCCATTGTAGACAGTCCCATCATACCATCCCCTCCCTAAATTTATCAAGCTCAACATTGAAGCCAGTTAGATTTTTTTGCCTCCAATGCTCCCCTTGGACCTCCCCTTGGTTCTAACTATCAGAGGAGTGAAGTTCTGGAACAGCCTTCCAAGGGGAGCAGTGGGGGAAAAAGACATATCTGGCTTCAGGACTAAGATTGATAAGTTATGGAGGGGATGGTATGATAGGATAGCCTAATTTTGGCAATTTAATTGATCTTTGACTATTAGCAGTAAATATGCCCAATGGCCTGTGATGGGATGTTAGATGGGGTGGGGTCTGAGTTACTACAGAGAATTCTTTCCTGGGTGGCTGGCTGGTGAGTCTTGCCCACATGCTCAGGGTTTAGCTGATCACCATATTTGGGGTTGGGAAGGAGTTTTCCTCCAGGGCAGATTGGCAGAGGCCCTGGGGGTTTTTTGGCTTCCTCTGCAGCGTGGGGCATGGGTCACTTGCTGGAGGATTCTCTGCTCCTTGAAGTCTTTAAACCACGATTTGAGGACTTCAGTAGCTTAGACATAGGTTAGGTGTTCATTACAGGAGTGGGTGGGTGAGATTCTGTGGCCTGCGTTGTGCAGGAGGTCAGACTAGACGATCATAATGGTCCCTTCTGACCTTAAAGTCTATGATTCTATGAACTTCACTGCTCTAATGGTTAGAAACCTTCATCTAATTTCAAGCCTAAACTTGTTGGTGGCCAGTTTGTATCCATTTGTTTTTGTGTCCACATTGGTGCTTAACTTAAATAACTCCTCTCCGTCTCTGATATGTATTTATAGAGAGCAATCATATCTCCCCTCAAGACAAGCTCTTTGAGTGTCCTCTCATAAGGTAGGTTTTCCATTCCTTGGATCATCCTAGTAGCCCTTTTCTGCACCTGTTCCAGTTTCAATTAATCTTTCTTAAACATGGGAGAGCAGAATTGCACACAGTATTCCAGATGTGGTTTCACCAGTGCCTTCTATAATGGTACTAAACACTTCCCTGCCTCTACTGGAAATACTTTGCCTAATGCATCCTAGCACTGCATTAGCCTTTTTCACAGCCACATCACATTGACAGCTTATAGTCATACTGTGATCAACCAATACACCCAGTCTTTCTCCTCCTCTATCACTTCCAACTGATAAGTCCCAAATGTAGATTGATATGGCATCTAACAAATATCTCACAATCAACATGGAAGAAAAAGCTTATTTTGCTACCGGTTGCCTTTTAGTACCACATTGGCATCTTCCCTGTTCTAGAAGGCCATGGATGAGATCCTGAAGGGACTGAATGGAAATCAATGGTATTCAGACGAAGTGTTTTATCTCAATTTGGTGGATAGATATCTCAATTTGCCTGTCACTAGCACAAAGAAACTGTTAAGGATGTTGTGCTTTCTCTTGTGTAGAGAATGGTACTACAAAGTACGGTATTGGATCTTATGAATCCCCAGTTTACACAATTTGGGTTGCGTCAGCCTGAATTATCTGTGAATCAAGATTGCATCTTATGGGGAATCTGAGTTATCCTTCCAAAATCAGTTCAGTCTCAAGTTTTGGAAGCTCTTCACGATGGTCATATTGGCATTGTATGGATGAAGGCTATAGTCTTGAGTTCTGTCTCAGTGTCCTCATGGATAGATGAAGACATTGAGAGGAAGGTGAAGTGCTGTACTATATGTCAGCAAATTCAGCATGATCCTGGCCCAGCATACTTACACCCTTGGTTCTGGCCTCAGATTCCTTGGAGGACACATGTTCATGTGGACTTTGCTGGACCATTGGAACATTATATATATTTGGTCATAGTTGACACCCATTTGAAATGACCAGTTTTCAGAATGACTTCTAACACAATTTTCAAGACCGTTGGACATCTTCATGCCTTGTTTAGTCAGTTTGGTCTACTGTTACAGTTGGTGAGTGACAATGGACCTCAATTCTATTCAGAAGAATTTCAGAGGTTCCTAGCATCAAATGGAATTCAGCACATATGTTCTGCTCCATACCACCTTGCTAAAAATGGATTAGTGGAACTCTTTGTACAGTCACTTAAGCATGCCTTAAGAGCTAACAAGTTTATTTTGAGTTATCAGCAGAAATTGGACAAATTCTTGTTTGTCTACAGGAGCACACTATGTGCTACTACCTTGCAGTCAACTGCACCTGTTTTTTTGAAGCAATCATTGGGTATCTTTTGGAACCTGCTATGACTTGATGTTGTCTTATGTGTAGCCAAATCCCATGCAAAGTGATTGACAACGTGAGGTTCATCATTGTTGTTTTCAAATAGGAGATGTAATGGGGACTCGCAACTACAGTTGTTGAGTGAAATGCATACTTGGGGAACTTGTGAAATGCATGAGACCTTTTTCGTTCATGGTTAAACTATGTGGTGGTACTTTGTGGAAACGACATATGGACCAGCTGCAACCTCAACAAGTAACAGAATCCATGACTGTTCCATCAGGACTCTCTTCTCCTCTGATCAAACCTCCTTCCATTCAATTCTTAATTTTCTTGGCTTGTTGGAACAAATTTTGGTACCAGATGCAGTTGATTCTGTACCACAGACTGTTCCTGTTGTACCAGACATTGCTTCTCCACCATCACAATGTTATCCCAAGAGAGCGTAAAAACCAGTGCTTGCGCCTGAACTTATATGTTGTTTAGCTAGAGTTGGTATTCCAGGGTAGAATAATCCCTTGCAATTTAAGAGTCTGCAGTAGTCCACCCATAATTTTTAGTTAGGTTATATAGTGTTTTATGTTATCCACATAAATGATAATGTATATATGTTTGGAAAGTATTTTAATGGAGGGTGGAGAAATTAGATATTCTGCACCTTTAAATAGTTTGGACACTCTGCACTCAGTTGCAGAGCCTCACTTTTATGTTAGTTTCTGTTTTGTTAGCAGAACAATAAAGCCACTACAGCAGACAGCTGTGTTTGCCAGCACCCCCTGTGTCCATCCCCTTCTCTGCTGGGTCCAAATATAACAACTCACCTCTATAACAACTCTATAACTCACCTCTGAATGTTGCTGTTTGTTTCATAGATTGTAACCAGGAAATATATAGGCCTATATGATACTTTGTGATAGTTGTCCAGGTCTGTTTTTTACTGAGCCTATACCTATTTACACTTGTATCAGGATTCTCACCCATGTTTCTGCCAAAAATAGATTGTTGTGCCACAAAATACAAATTTAATAAAAAGAACAGGAGTACTTGTGGCACCTTAGAGACTAACAAGGTGCCACAAGTCCTCCTGTTCTTTTTGCGGATACAGACTAACACAGCTGCTACTCTGAAACCGGAAATTTAATATCAAAGTTCAACTGTATAATGGAGCAAGGACTCACATTTTTTTTAATGTATGGTAATATTTTGTAGCCCCTCCACAGTGTCTAATGTCCATTTCATCAGGATTATCTTCAGAGTGGCTACCTGTGTGGAAAGTTAAACTCTTGTTTACCTGTTTGCAGGATGAGGGTCCAGGTTTCATGTGGTTTGGGGTTTCATAATGAAGGGTGCACATATCTCTAATCTCAGTACAACAGTACCATATTCCATTGAAATTCTGTAGAGTGGGTTTATATCTAAGCATTATTATTTCAGGCATTTGAAGATATACATCTTGAGAAAAGAAAAAACATTAAAATTATGTTGGAATTTTTTGATAAAATCTTCACTTACATCTTTGTCCTGGAGATATTTCTGAAATGGGTGGCTTATGGCTTCAAGAAATATTTCACCAATGCTTGGTGTTGGCTTGACTTCCTAATTGTAGGTGTAAGTATTGCATTTGATCAGTTCTGTGGGCAGGATTACGTAATATAGAACAACAAAATGTTCGCTTTTTTTTTTTTTGGATGTCCCAAATTGAGGCACCTTCATTTGAAGGGGAACTGATTTTTAGAAAGTACCGAGCACCCACCCTTTGAAAAACCACACCTTTCAAAGTGTCTCAATTTGGACAACAAAAATAGTAATTTTGTTAAAATTTTGGCCTCAAAATTCTTACAGCTTTAATAATCTAAGTTAGCATTAGTAAGACAGGTCAAGTACATTTGTTTTGTTAAAATGGATTGGGTGAAATCTTGGCACCCCTGAAATGATTGGTGTTTTATTATTAACTTCAATGCTGCCTGCATTTCACTCGTTATTTTATACCTGTTAGTGTCCCCTTAAGATGCCTTTCTATTGTACTGTACTGGCTGCCATTTCATACTTTCACTGATAGGACTTTGTAAGCATGAGAAAAAGAGAAAAAAAAAAAAACAGAGGGCAGGATTATGCTTATATTTTTTGTCTCTCTCTATTTAGGTCTCTTTAGCAAGCCTTATAGCTAACTCACTTGGATATGCCGAAATGGGACCCATGAAATCCCTTAAAACCCTGAGAGCATTGAGACCATTAAGAGCATTGTCACAATTTGAAGGGATGAGGGTAAGAATAAATAAAGCAACCATTGAAGCCCCTTTGTCTGAAGAGCAAGCATGTGAAAGGACACTATTTCATATGGGTTTGCTTTCATTATGGTGCTGTACAACAGTTAAGGTTACATTTGAGTTCAATTTTAAGAGTTTTTAAAATTTTATTTTGTAAAAAAACCACTGAAATGGCAAAAAAAAATCAAATCATACTCAAAGTTTATATATGTTTGGATTTTTTGTAGTGGTTTGATGAAAAATGAATTGAAACACAAAGAACAATAAGATTTCAAAAATCATTCCTTTATGGCCGATTTTCACTGAATTCTCTCTCTTTTCTTCCGCTAGAATTCAGACATAGAAAAAGTCACAAAATGTTTGCGGATTTTTTTTTAAATAATGAAGAAAAGTAACCTTACACTTATAAATCTGGAAAACTAATAAGTAGATTTACGGGGGAAAAAATCCTCTGATATACTTTAGTTTAAAGCTGGAATGCCAGAATTAGCTTGTAACCATATCACTTGTGTTCATTGTTTGTCCAAACATTTTCTTGCTCACTTTTGCATTTTCTTGGTGAATGAATATTTTTCCAGGAGTTCTCTTATCTGTTTGTTTTTGCTTGATGATCATACTAAGTACACAAATGATGATCTCATTGAAGCAATGGCAAAACTCCCATTGACTTCAATTGGTCCAGGATTTAACCTTTAGTGATTTGGATTTGTTGTTTTTGTATTTCCTTTTTATCATTACATGATTAGCAAATTATTATAATTGTATTCTATATCAGCAAGTGCACCACTAATACTGCAGATCACATGGCAACACACGATATGTAAGTTAGCAGTGTAAGTAACATTTACAAATCCATCTAAGATTTCTGATGTAAACACACATAGCAAGGCACCAGATAAATTTTTCAATAAATGAAAGCAAAAACTAAATTCGGAAACACAAAATCCTTAAGTGTGCTAAGGAAAGGTATTACTATGTATTAATTATTTAATAATTACAAAAACTCAGGAGACTGATACTAAGATAGGGAGCCTATTATATCTATATCAAATTCAGATTCAGTATATGTTTGTATGAACTAAAAGTCATTAATATCTAGAGGATGTTCAGTAAGTTGATGGCCCCATTCCTGTTTCTAAAGTAAAATTGTCTGCATTAAGGTAACAAAACCACCAGAACAATTGAAACCCTTGTTGATACTACTTGCAGAAAGGTCAAGAATTCAGCGAACATGGAAACTGGAGATAAGTCCAACTCACAATATTCAGGTCTGAACTTTCCCAGAGTTTGGAGGTGTTTAGACCAGAGATTATGTTCAACCCATAAGAGAAAGACGCACCAACAGTGACATTTGAAACTAGATTAAGATTTCCTTTAAAATTTACCACAGGTTGTTTAAAGGTTTTGGTTTAGACCCATCTCTAATGCAAACTAGATAATCTCCCTCCTTCTTCCCCCAACATAGTAATTGCACATCAAGGTTGAGACATTAGTTGGATATTGTGGGGAAATTTGTGCTATCATTAACTAATCTACATACATGTTCTATGGATATAGGAATTCCATCTCCAGGCCTGCCAGTTCTGACCCTTTCACTAGCACTAAATTCATAATTAATATTAATTCGTAATTAATAATCATAACTAATAATGAAAATAATTTACCTTGGTCACTCACAATATGGTATTGTACACACTAGTGATAGAAAAAGCTGGGGATTCAGCTGAGTGTCTAAAGTCATACTTTGCCCCCTGAATCTTATATGTTGACCTAACTGTCATGACCCTTGCCTTCAGCACCTCCAGGTTACATTGCAAAAACTCATGCTACCTGAAGCTAGTTGTGAAGGGCACACTATACTGATTTACAATAACTGAGGGTCTGATCCATAGTGTGGCCTTCATGATTGCCTGTTGTGAGTGTGTAACATCATTTTTCTGTGAAGTGTAAAGAAATGCAAAAGGGACAGAGAAACCCTATATTAGTAGTTTAGAAGAAAGTGAAATACTGTGATATGATGGAGAATAAGACCTGGCATTTTCATACTCAGTTTCAAAAATAGATAAAATTTTGTTTTTGTGAATCAATATCACTTTGTCCCAGGCTCAGAAATGTCAGAGAAAAAGAGAAAAGGCTTGTATCAGCAGAGAAGATCCTAATTTTGATAGAATGAAGGAACTGAGCAGCAAACTCATTCAAATATAGACTAGATTTTATAGAAAGACTGTTAGAGTATTGTATATGAGTGCTAATGTGAGTCATTGGCATATAGTAGTGGATTTAAAGCAAAAAGTTAGTAATATAGTGGGAAAACAATTACATGTTGTGATACTGGGTGTATATGAATTTTTAGATGTTTTTATGTTAAGTTTGGTATACATCAAAGGCTTTTACATTTTGCGTGGCAGGAAGGCTTTGAATCCTGGATAACGGGTCCAAATCTGTCCTCAGTTAAAACTGTGCAACCCCATTGAATTCCACAGGAGTTGCACAGGTTGTAGCTGAGGCAGTTTTGTAACTAACATATCTACTGCTTTTCTTTGTTCTGCTAACCATTCTCTCCAAATCATCATATGTGGAAAGATCCTACATAAGGAATTTGCCACTGCTCTTCCTATGGAAGAGCCAGGGCATCAGTTCCGGATCCTGGTAGATCCAGTGAAGCTGATGTCTGTCAGTGTGGGGGTCCTGTGCCTCTAGACAGGTTCCACAGCTGCTTCTTCCCCTCCCATTCCTTTGGCCCCATAGCATCAGTTGGAGAGCCTGTCTTGGGATAAGGGGAAAGAAAGGAAAATGTGTTATAGAAGTGGCATTCTATATACCTGTCTCTGGCAAGTTGTACTATCTGTATACTACAAGTTTGATGTGATATCTTTGTTGTCTGTTGGCCATAGAAGAAAGTTGTTATGGGGGATTGTCAACCATCTGAACTGTCTATGGACAGTAAGATTTTGGTGTCTCTGCTCTATAAAAGGGAAGTGAACTGAAAGATGATATACAATTGTCTGTAAGCCATTTGTGATTGGTGGTTCATGATGATTTGTAGTCCAGACTGGAAATTATATGAAACAGGACCAGTAGCGATGAGGGTTTTTGGTGTATCAGTAAAGGCAGCATGAGGATATAGGGGTATAGTTAAGACAGCTTGTACAATCTTAACTACAAATTTGTCCCCTATTTATATAATCCCAGTGTTCTAAAAATGTTGTTCTGAATCAAGATATTTATTTATAACTTTAACATTATCATAAAGGTTTTGTCTGGGAAATGCTGTAGTTTCTGCACAAACGGTATAGACCTTGAAAGCTTTTCTGGCCATGTGAAACCCAGCAAGCACAAACTTGACTAGCACAATATTTGAGGCTTCTTTCCTGTTCTCTCTCCTAATTTGAAAGCTGTATGAAACTTGTAAGGAAACAAAAATAAGAAAAGCTTGCCTGGGTTTGGGATTTGTTATGAATCCGAAATGTATTCACTTGAATGTAGGGTGAGTGTCATGCTATACTTGCACTCAGTTTAGGACACTCCCACTCCACCCTCCCAATAAGCCCAGGCTCCCACTTTAACTTTAGATATTTCTTAGAGGGGATGCCCAGTGGCCTGCTTGACCTCTCTTTTTCAAAGTGTTGCCTTTGGGAAGCTAGCTCGCCCCACTGGCTGTGACCTGTGTGAAGGTAAAGGATCACCCATACTCTACTTTTGGGGGGTACTGGGTTCTACTCTGCCCTTTACTAGGCAATGAGCAGAAGTTCCTGTCCTAAGCAGGAAGTCACAGCTTTGACATTTGTTTACTCTATGAGATCATTAGTAGAGGTTACTCCTTGAAACACTAGCCAGATGTGATGAGATGCACTTTGGAAGTTAAAGTCTCCATCAGGCATGAGTCAGAATGTGTAATTTATGCAAGTTGGTCACAATTTCTGCTATTTCCCCAGAAGAGATTATGGTAGATCTTATTTTTTCATACCAGTGGAGCTTATAAGTCTGCTCAAAACTTACATGTTGTACTGACACTTTCCAGGTTACTCTTGAATTGTGGAAAACTTCTCATGGAAGTTACAATATCTGCAGCAACCTTTACATATCTACCACAGATTCATTATTGATCCTCTAATAACTAATTTTCCACACAACTTGAATAAATTTCATGCTGACATGAATAAAAACAGACGGCTATATTAATCCTCATGAGGAAATAATGTGTATTTAGAATCTTGTAGAAACAAAAAACAAACAAAAAAAACCAACAACAACAAAAGGAAGCTCCAAAAGTGAACATTCTACCATTACATTCAAATACTTTATTGTTGTTTAATAGTGCTCCCAAGTGTGCTAGGTGTTTCACAGAAAACAAAAAACAGGTTCCTGTCCGGAAGAACTGATAATCGAAGGGCCTGATCCTGCCAACACTATAGATGTAAAAACCTTTACTCGAAATAGTTGCCGCTTCAGTAGAAGTATTTATGGGAGTAAAGTTACTCATGTGTGTAACTGTTTACTTAAATGACACGGGATTGCTTAGATTTTCAAAACAGTTTAATGCAGCAAATAGCTGTTTAAGGCTTTGCACATGTGAATACCTATAGTAACTGTATGTTTTTCTTTGATTTCTCCTAAGGTGGTTGTGAATGCCCTAGTAGGTGCCATCCCTTCTATCATGAATGTTGTGCTTGTCTGCCTCATTTTTTGGCTCGTTTTTAGTATCATGGGAGTGAACCTATTTGCAGGAAAATTTGGAAAATGCATTAACTTGACTGAAGAAACATCAGGATTAAATGAAAGTATTAGGAACAAATTGGATTGCACAACCTATAATGACACGCAAAAAATATATTGGACAAATGCTAAGGTCAACTTTGATAATGTTGGTTCTGGTTATCTGGCTCTTCTTCAGGTGGTAAGTTCTGTTTTGCTGACTGGCACATTGTGGGGTGGGGTGGAATCAGGTTTTGCCAGTTGCTTACCCACATCTGCAAGGAGTGGGAAGCAGTGGCCCTGCGAAGCCTGCTGTCCCAACCCCACCCCATGTTCAGACTGACAATATGGTTAGCCCATTCAGGGTCCCTTCCAGTGTATGCACATATAGTGTCCAATGGTGAGTTACGAACTGATTATATAACCATTTGAAAATGTGCTCCTCTGATTTGCAGCTATCTCCTGGGAAGATGGTATGAAATGTTTGTTATAATTTCATGAAACTACAGGCAAAATTCTCTCCTGCACTGAGTAAAGCTCAGTGCAGAAATGGGAAGTGGGGAGAGAGCATCAGTGGGCTGGTTCCAATTCCCTGATTTGTTGTGATCAACTCTGTCACAAACATGTCAGCAAGGAGATCCCCTACACCAGGTGAATTCTGTGCTGGGCATTTGTGGACATACTACAGTCCCTTTGCACCATCTCAGAAGCACAAAAATGTAAACAGGCTAAACAATCTCATCCTAAAAGTTTAATATGATTTTAATAATTTTCCTGTTTTTTCTAGGCAACATTTAAAGGTTGGACAGACATTATGTATGCAGCAGTAGATTCACGAGGGGTAGGTCATGAAAATTAAAATGTTCTCTCTTGTAACCATCTCTCCAATTGTTACTTGTGTTTTCTAATTTTCATGCTTATTAGTGTTAGTCAACACAATGTGTAGGTCTAGTCTGTACATTGTTTTCGTGGTGCTATCTACTCACTGAGCTAAAATGGATGAGCATCTTTTTTAAAATAAATGGGCAAGCATTATTTATTAAGTATCATTATTATTATATTTAATGTATGTATTACTGTGCCACCTAAAGACTCCAGTCAGGATTAAGGTTCCACTGCATTAGCTGCTGTACAAATACAGAGGAAGATACAGTTCTGCATCCAAAGGACTTAAATTGAACAAAATTACCAGCATATCTTCCAAGGAAATGAATGAGCTCAAATGTAACCACATTTGAAAATAATTTTCTCAGGTTTATTTAAAACTTTGTTGCTTTTTTCCAACAGTAATAGAATAGCTTTTCAACCAAAGGTTTAAATTGGAAGAACACATCTCGGCCAAGATTCTCAAAAGCCGAAGCTTGAAGTTAGGCTCCTAAAAAAGTGACCTGATTTTCAAATGTTGAGTGCTCAACAGTTGCCACCGACCTCAGTCAAAGCTGTTGGTTGCTCCTCGATGCCTTTGAAAATCATGCCAGTAAGATGTGATTCAACTCTCTTTGAAGTCAATAAAGACTCCGGTTGACTTCAATGGAAGTTGAATTGGACATATATTTAGTCATGATATATAATATTTTAAACAGATGGTTAAAAAGAGAAACATTTTCTTATGTGTCCTTGAATGAAGACAAAAGTGCAACTCCTCTCACTCTCCTTAAAAAAATGCATCCGTCAAGCTTTTAATTTCTTTGTCAGCAGTGTAAATGGAACGGGAGATATTGTCCTACAAGTTTCTTAGCACAAGTGTAATCAACATCAGTGTCAGTTGCAGTGATCTCTTCAATACGTGGACAGAGAACACCTTAAAGATTGCAAAGAAATCAAATCAACAGACAATAGCAATCATAACACTTGTCAAGGTTCCGTCCCCACTCTGAACTCTAGGGTACATATGTGGGGACCTGCATGAAATACCCCCAAGCTTATTCTTACCAGCTTAGCTTAAACGCTGCCACCACCAAAGTGTTACTCAAAGAACAGGGGAAGTGCCCACTTGGAAATGTCTCCCCCCCAAAAAAATATCCCCCCAAGCACTACACCCCCTTTCCTGGGGAAGGCTTGATAAAAATCCTCACCAATTTGCATCGGTGAACACAGAACCAAACCCTTGGATCTTAAGAACAATGAAAAAGCAATCAGGTTCTTAAAAGAAGAATTTTAATTGAAGAAAAAGTAAAAGAATCACCTCTGTAAAATCAGGATGATAAATACCTTACAGGGTAAGCAGATTCAAAACATAGATAATCCCTCTAGGCAAAACCTTAAGTTACAAAAAGACACAAAAACAGAATATACATCCCATTCAGCACAATTTATTTTATCAGCCATTTAAACAAAACAGAATCTAACGCATATCTAACTAGATTGCTTACTAACTCTTTACAGGAGTTCTGACCTGCATTCCTGCTCTGGTCCCGGCAAAAGCATCACACAGACAGAGAGAACCCTTTGTTTCCCCCCCGGCCCTCCAGCTTTGAAAGTATCTTGTCTCCCCATCGGTCATTTTGGTCAGGTGCTAGCAAGGTTTATTTTTGTTTCTTAACCCTTTACAGGAAAGGGTTTTTCCTCTGGCCAGGAGGGATTTAAAGGTATTTACCCTTCCCTTTATATTTATGACACCCCCCCCAAATCACAGATAGGGTGAAACGCTGGCTGTGATTTCTTCCTGGAACTCTAGGAAAAACAGAGTTAATAAGACACATGCACCTCTAAATATACTACCAAGTATATAAAGACTAACAGTATTTTCCACATCTCAAGGACGATTTTAACAAGTTGATTTTGGGAAACTTTCACGGGAGAGTGCATCAGCCACTTTGTTAGAAGCTCCTGAGATGTGTTGGATGTCAAAATCAAAATCTTGGAGAGCTAAACTCCACTGAATAAGTTTTTTGTTATTTCCTGTGGCGGTATGAAGCCACTGTAGCGTAGCATGGTCGGTTTGCAGGTGGAAACGCCGTCCTCAAACATATGGGCGTAGCTTTTCCAGAGTGTAGACAATGGCGTAACATTCTTTTTCACTGACTGACCAGTTGCTTTCCCTCTTAGACAGCTTCTTGCTGAGAAACACTACACGATGGAATTCTTGATCCGGTCCTTCCTGCATTAAAACTGCTCCCACACCATGTTCGGACGCATCTGTGGTTACTAGGAACGGTTTGTCAAAGTCTGGGGCACTTAGCACAGGGTCAGACATGAGTGTCGCTTTAAGCTGGTTAAAGGCTTTCTGAGACTCTTCGGTCCACTGAACGGCATTTGGCTGTTTCTTTTTGGTTAGGTCTGTCAGTAGGGCGGCGATTTGGCTGTATTGCAGTACAAATCGCCTGTAATATCCGGCCAAGCCTAAGAAGGATTGAACCTGTTTCTTTCACTTTGGGACAAGCCACTTTTGGATAGCATCCACTTTGGCCTGTAGGGGGTTCAAAGTTCCTTGACCAACCTGGTGTCCTCTGTTTAGGCCTCTTTGACACTTCTTAGCCTTAACAGTTAGTCCCGCCTCCCTTATGCACTCGAAAACTTTTTGTAGATTTTCCAGGTGTTCTGCCCAGGAATCCGAAAATATGGCCACATCGTCAAGGTAGGCGACTGCATATTCTCCTAATCCTGCTAGGAGACCATCTACAAGTCTTTGGAAGGTGGCAGGTGCATTCCACAGCCCAAAAGGGAGTACATCAAATTCATACAGCCCGACATGCATGATGAAGGCTGACTTTTCCTTGGCGGATTCATCTAGCGGTACCTGCCAGTACCCCTTGGTTAAGTCCAAGGTAGAGATGAACTGGGCCCGTCCCAGTTTCTCTAATAGTTCATCTGTGCATCGCATTTGATAGTTGTCTGGGCAAGTTACAGCATTTAGCTTACGGTAGTCCATGCAAAAATGTATCTCCCCATCTGGTTTGGGAACTAGAACCACTGGAGATGCCCATGCACTGCCAGAGGGGCGGATTACCCCCATCTGTAGCATATCCTGGATCTCCCATTCTATAGCAGTTTTAGCTTGAGGAGACACCCGGTAAGGTTGGACTTTAATTGGGCGAGCATTACCTGTGTCAATGGAGTGGTATGCCCGTTCAGTCAGTCCTGGGGTGGCTGAGAACTTCGGTGCATAGCTAGTACACAGCTCCTGGATCTGCTGTCGCTGCATACGCCCAAGGGTCATGGAGAGGTTCACCTCTTCCACGCCACCAGCACTTTTCCCTTCGTAGTAGACACCTTCAGGCCACTCAGTGTCATCTTCTCCCTGGGCTGTAAACTGACAAACCCTTAATTCTCTGGAATAAAAGGGCTTGAGAGAATTAATACTGTGCAGCTAAAAAAAGGCTTTCGGTTGGAAGTGGGGAATGCTATGAGATAATTAACAGCTCCCAGGCGCTCCTGGACCGTGAATGGCCCTTCCCATGACGCTTCCATTTTATGGGCCTGGAGCGCCTTTAAGACCATGACCTGGTCCCCGACTTTGAAGGAACACTCTCTGGCATGTTTATCATACCAGGCCTTTTGCTCCTTTTGAGCATCCTGTAGGTTTTATTTAGCAAGGGCTAAAGAGGTTCGGAGGGTGTTTTGTAGGTTGGTTACAAAGTCCAGAATGTTAGTTCCTGGAGAAGGAGTAAACCACTCCCATTGCTGCTTCACCAACTGAATGGTCCCGTAACCTCGCGGCCAGATACAAGTTCAAATGGTGAAAACTATAAACTGGGATGTGGGACAGCTCTGTAGGCAAAGAGCAACTGCTGCAACACTAGGTCCCAATAATTGGAGTGCTCATTTACAAATTTACATATCATGGCCCCCAAAGTTCCATTAAATTTCTCCACCAGGCCACTTGTTTGATGATGGTAAGGGGTGGCAACCAAGTGAGTCACCCCATGAGGTTCCAAAAGGCTTTCCATAGTTCCTGCCAGGAAATTAGTTCCTGCATCTGTGAGGATGTTGGAGGGCCAACCTACCCTGGCAAAAATGTCTGCTAGTGCCTGGCACACACTTTTAGCCCTGGTGTTGCTTAGAGCTACTGCTTCCGGCCATCAGGTGGCAAAATCCATGAAAGTCAGTATGTACTGCTTTCCTCTGACTGTCTTTTTCGGAAAAGGACCCAGAATATCCACAGCTACTCGCTGAAATGGAACCTCAATGATGGGGAGTGGCTGGAGAGGGGCTTTGACCTGATCTTGGGGTTTTCCCACTCTTTGGCATACCTCACAAGACCAGACATAGGTAGAAACATCCTTGCCCATTCCCTCCCAGTGGAATGACCTCCCCAAATGGTCTTTGGTCCTGTTCACCCCAGCATGGCCACTAGGATGATCATGGGCTAAGCTCAAGAGCTTTACCCAGTACTTGGTTGGAATTACCAACTGTCTCTGAGGATGCTAGTCTTCCTGGTGTCCAGCAGAAAAAGTTTCCTTGTATAAAAGTCCTCTTTCTACAACAAACCTGGATCAATTAGAAGAGCTGAGAGGCAGTGGGTTGCTCTGTGCCGCCGTCCAAGCTTTTTGGAGGCTTTCATCTGCTTCCTGTTCGGTCTGGAACTGTTCCCTTGATGCTGGAGACATCAGTTCCTCATTGGATTGTGGACCTAGGCTTGGTCCCTCTGGAAGCGATGTAGGGGATGGGGCTGTTTCCGTTGACTGTGAACCGCTCTTCGCTGGTGCACTATGTTGGGGTTCAGGCTCCGGCTGAGCCTCTTGTGTAGGGTTATCGGCTGCTGCCAGTTCAGGTTCGGTGGGGCCCTCTGGTGTTAGGGTTGCAAGTACTGGGTTCAGTGGGTCTGGTGCTGGTTGTTCCACCGGTTCTGGTTCTGGGGCTGGCTCTGTCTGGGTCTCTGGGATTGGATCCACTACTGCCGTTGCAGACGTTGGCCTGGGTTCCGGGTCCATCACCTCTAACCGGGTCCTGGTAGAAGTTTCCGGAACAGAGCTAGGCGTGACGGCTGGTTTAGCCTGGCTGCGGGTGACCATTCCCACCCTCTTGGCTAGCTTCACATGATTGGCCAAGTCTTCCCCCAACAGCATGGGGGATGGGATAATTGTCATAGACTGCAAAAGTCCACGTTCCTGACCAGCCCTTGTACTGGACAGGCAACTTGGCTGTAGGCAAATTGAAAGAGTTGGACTTGAAGGGTTGAATTGTCACTTGGATCTTTGGGTCGATTAAATTGGGGTCCACTAAGGAAGCATGGATAGCCAACACTTGTGCTCCGGTGTCCCTCCACGCGGTGACCTTCTTCCCACCCACACTCACAGTTTCCCTTCCGCTCTGAGGGTATCTGGGAGGTATCTGGGCCTGAGGACCTCTGGTGTGATTCCGGTGCAATGAACTGTAATCTGTTGAGGTTCTTGGGGCAGTTGGCCTTCACATGCCCCAGCTCGTTATATTTAAAACATCATCCAGCTGACGGGTCACTGAGGTGGGTTGCTGGAGAATGGTGTGGCAGGACGATAAGGTATCTGGAGTATTCCTTGGTGTGTAGTTGGGGCTTTGGGCTGCCCCTGGTGGTAGGGTGTGGTCTGAGGGTGTCCCTTCTGGTATCCGTTCCAACTGTGACCAGGGTTGTTCCTCTCTCCTCCCTTCACCCATTTTTTTCTGGCTTGCCCTACCTCTCTGGCGGTCTGGGACTGCTTGTATCGATCAGCATAAGAAGCAAGACTTTCTGCTGAGTCCATTTCCTTATCCCATAAACACTGTTTTATTTCCTCCTTGGACATATTCAGGAATTGCTCCTCAGCTATCAAATCACACATTCCGTCAAAGCTAGTGACACCCCTTCCTTGGACCCATTTATCTAACAGATCCTTCATCTGGTTTAGATAAGCTACATTACTTAGTCCAGGCCCCCTTTTAAGGGTTCAAAATTTTACTCTGTACGTTTCAGAAGTAATTTGAAATTGCTTTAAAACCAAATCCTTGAACTTATTATAGTCAGAAGCCTCATCAATAGGCATCTTATTGAATATGTCCAGAGCTCTTCCAGTCAATTTTGCGACCAATGTGTTCATCTTGTGAGCTTCAGGAATTTTATGGAGAGTGCACAGTCTCTCAAAGGTGAGAAAATATTCAGCAATATCACTGGATTCATCATACTGTGGACATAGTCGCTCCCATTTGTGGATTGTTGGGGAAGGATGGTTAGGGTTATCCAGTGGATTCCGCTCAGCCCTTACCGTCTCCAACTCCAGTTCATGCTTCCTCTCTTTTTCCTTCTCCTCCATTTCTTCTTCCCTTGCCTCCATTTCTTTTTCCTTTGCCTCCATAGCTCTCCTGTGGGCAGCTTCTTGGTTTTTTTCTGCCTTGGGCTCTGTCATTTTGCCTCTCTGTTTTTAATTAACTTTACACCCGAGAGGTAGAAATAAAACAAACAAACAAACAAAAAACTTGGCTTGTCAAAAAAAAAAAAAAAAAAGGTTGTGCTGTAACCGGATACTGATGTTCTCTGATAGTGATTGTCAGCCTACAGAAAAATCCATTAAAAAAAAAAGAAACTAACACCTCTGTCTCCAGGCAAATAGAGAGAAAAAGCCTCTCGTTGCTCTTAGCTAAAAAAAGAACCCACCTCTTCAGGTCTGTGAAGACTTGTGAATTTCCCTGCAGGAAGTTAACTACCCTGCCTTTAGGTAGAGAAAACTCCAGCTCACAAAAGCAAGGTCCCTTTTGTTATGCTTGTTGCTTTGTCCCCTTTTACAAAACCCTTTAAAATCTTTTAAAATCCTTTTGTGCTTCTGATTAAAAAAAAATCTCAAAATGATTTCAAATTAATCCCACCGCTCTGCCACCATGTCAAGGTTCCTTCCTCACTCTGAACTCTAGGGTACAGATGTGGGGACCTGCATGAAAGACCCCCTAAGCTTATTCTTACCAGCTTAGCTTAAACGCTGCCACCACCAAAGTGTTACACAAAGAACAGGGGAAGTGCCCACTTGGAAATGTCTCCCCCCAAAATATCCCCCCAAGCCCTACACCCCCTTTCCTGGGGAAGGCTTGATAAAAATCCCCACCAATTTGCATAGGTGAACACAGACCCAAAACCCTTGGATCTTAAGAACGATGAAAAAGCAATCAGGTTCTTAAAAGAAGAATTTTAATTGAAGAAAAAGTAAAAGAATCACCTCTTTAAAATCAGGATGGAGAATCCCTCTAAGCAAAACCTTAAGTTACAAAAAGACACAAAAACAGGAATATACATTCCATTCACCACAGCGTATTTTATCAGCTATTTAAACAACACAGAATCTAACACTATCTAGCTAGATTACTTACTAAGTTCTAAGACTCCATTCCTTTTCTGTTCCCGGCAAAAGCATCACACAGTCAGAGAGAACCTTTGTGTCCCTCTCAGCTTTGAAAGTATCTTGTCTCCTCGTTGGTCATTTTGGTCAGGTGCCAGCAAGGTTATCTTAGCTTTTTAACCCTTTACAGGTGAAAGGGTTTTTCCTCTGGCCAGGAGGGATTTAAAGATGTTTACCCTTCCCTTTATATTTATGACACCACTAAAATACATTGGGCCAAATTCTCTGCCCATTTACTTAATTGACAACAGAAAATTTGGCATATTATTTGTAGAAGATATTTTCAGGTCACCAAGAAGGATAGTCAAGTGCTAGGAGAAACATTGCTCTCAGTAAAATTGTCATCCACATCTTCTGTGGTGTCCTTAGATTTAACTTTGTCCAACAGTCACACTGTAGATTTTCTCTCCCCTCCTCAAGTGCACCCATGAAATGCAAGACGTACTTATTCCTCGGGAGAGTCTGTGCCAAAAAATTCAAAATTCTGTATATTTTATTTGTCATAATAATGCAATATAATCACCCCAATTTCAATTGTTTTGGTAATTTATTTAAACTACAATACAGAAAAAAGTCACAGCATTTCCTAAACACATGAAAGTTAAGTTACAAACACTTGGTAGCATACCCGGATTCCAGTTATAATCCTGGGTTTTCATTTGAAGTATGTTACAGACACCAAACAGCGCCCCCCCCAAAAAATGTAGAATGTTATTTTAACTTGCTCAGACTTTCATACATGAAAGTCCTACAGGTTTGCTAATCATTGTCCTGTGTCTGGCTGGGGACTTGGGGAAGTGCTTGGTTCGGATTGTCCTGACATTTTATTGACTGCTTAGTGAATGTTTTATTTGCCCTCAAAGTCTTTTTTTTTTTAAATGGGTATGTAAAATAAATCCTGAGCTGTACTCTAACCCCATTGTGCCACTTTGGCACAGGAAAAAAGTGAGAAAGCCTATAGACCTTCTTAGCTGAGGATTCCCTTCCTGTCATTATAATAAGGCTCCTTTACATCACTTTGGCAATGTAGCAGCCTTAAAACTTTTTACAGGTTTTATACTCCTGGGTGAATTGACTGAGACTGGAAACAGTTAACTAACAATAAGAACATTAACAGTGTCACTACACTGGCAGGCTGCTACATTTGTGCCTCAGAGAATGAGCTCAATTGAAGTCAACAGCCACTTTAACAATGTTACTACAGAGGCATGCTTCTATATTTGTGCCTCCAGGACATAGCCAGCCTCGTGCATAATAAAAACTCTACCCTTCCATGCCGCGAGCTGCAGTCGCAAGAGAGAGGGACGGATCTCTCTCTCTCTCGTTGGCACACACATATGCCTAGCCTTCCCTCCCCCCGCCCGCCAGTGATTAACCACACAGGCACACGCACATCCAGCCTCTCTCCCCCAATTCTGAGGCTGCTTCAGGCATGCTGGAATAGATGCACTGAATGGGCTACCGGGGAAGAGGCGCATGTCCCCTGGCAGATTTTTTTTCCATTTTTCTGCACAGAAATATGCAGGCCATATGAATTCTGTGCTCCTGCAGGGGCACAGAATTCTGTCAGGAGTACTTATTGTTACCCACTAGAGTTTTTAACTAGACAACTTTTTTCAGAATATGTAGTGATGTAGTAAATTTGATATCCTGCAATGAACTCTGTACGGGGGGATGGAGGCACCTATTTGGAACTCCTTCTAGGAGCACAGCCATATTGTTTTCAGTCATTTTTCATCTTGGTTATCATTTTTGCAGAAAGAAAAGCAGCCACGGAAGGAACATAATCTATACATGTACCTCTATTTTGTGGTTTTCATCATCTTTGGATCTTTCTTCACACTGAATCTTTTTGTTGGTGTCATTATTGACAATTTTAACCAACAAAAGAAAAAGATAAGTATATTGGATATGTTTCCAGACCCCTGATATATCCCTTACATGCTGTCTTCAGAGTATAGGATGCCAGCTATATACTGAAACTCTAAAACATTTATTTACATTTATTACATGGAACAGCATCAGTATTGAATTTAATTGAGGCAGCATTACAAGTGAAGTGCTAAGAAGTGCTTCCCCTTCACCATTCCTTTCCCATGTTTCCCATCCATGTAATTCTTGGCTCCAGAAGCAGCACTGATTCAAGAGGCTGTGAAGTCAGCTATGCAGTCCCTTGAATGCTACTTCCCCTACCTTTCAGAGTAGCAGCCGTGTTAGTCTGTATTCGCAAAAAGAAAAGGAGTATTAGTGGCACCTTAGGAACTAACCAGTTTATTTGAGCATGAGCTTTCGTAGCTACAGCTCACTTCATCGGATGCATTCAGTGGAAAATACAGTGAGGAGATTTATAGCTAAGCACTGTGGGACAGGGTCTGAGGAGCAGCTCTGGGATTGGGCAGTGCGCCAGAGCTGGTAGAGGACAGCAACAACAGGAGGTCAAGGGGAAGGGAACAAGTTGATCCTTCCCTCGTGTGCCTGAGCTCGTAGCTAGTCATTTTCCTGCTTTCTGAGCCAGTGGAGTGCCACTACAGAACTGTTTAAAATGCATTTGATCCCAATTAGGTACTGTGAGAAGGGTTAGTAACAGCAAGAAATAAAAGGGCAGAAAAAGAAAGAAATGTTGGCTTCCAATATTTTAGACTCTTGCAGGGCAATGATGTTTTTTTCTCATCAATAGTAACAGTAGCATTATCTCCATATACTTAGGTAGACAAGACATCTTTATGACAAAAGAACAAAGAAAATACTATAACGCAATGAAAAAACTGGGATCCAAGAAACCCCAAAAACCCATCCCAAGGCCATTGGTGAGACCACCTGAGTTCTTCCAACTAAAATATTTCTAATCAGTGAAAATCCATAGTAAAATAAACTTAATCCACCCAAAAATTTATTAATTATATATAATATACACATTATATATAATGTATTTGTTTCCACTGATGTTCAGAGAATGTTCATAGAATTAATTCTGTACCAAGAAATTGCCACTGAAGGATTATAAAGAATAAATATTTATTAAGTTCTTTGCAGAAATATTTACCTTGAAATTGATTATCCTTCAGAATGGGAAGGGAATTATGCTATCCTGTTTTATACTCTACCTTTCTCTAATATATCTATCTATAATGGAATTAAGCAACATTGAAACATATAAGGACTACTAGTAAGTAAATACACATGCCTAAGCACAGCCTCATTTTCATAACTAATACTAAATACTCTTGTTTTCCCCCCCTGCAGAACAAATACCAAGGGTTTTTTTTTGACATTGTAACAAGCCAAGCCTTTGATGTTATCATCATGATTCTCATCTGCCTTAACATGATCACTATGATGGTGGAAACTGATGATCAAACTATAAGGAAGACTGACATTCTTAACAAAATCAACATGTTCTTTGTTGCCATCTTTGCTGTAGAATGCACCATGAAATTGTTGGCTCTGAGACACTATTACTTCACCAATGGCTGGAACATATTTGATTTAAGTGTGGTCATTATGTCTATTGTTGGTAGGTAAAAATATACCAACAAGCTCAGTAATAGCCCTTTATATTTCATCACCATATATTATATTATATGTTTCCATGCCCCCCACCCCTCCTGCTGCCATTTTGTTCCTCCCCCTTTCTGCTCTAGGAGTTGGCCGTATGGTTTTGGAAGTCTATTTCTACCCTTTCTAGGTTCCCTAGGCATCTAGGTATCACATTTGGACCCATGTGCATTTTTGGCACCATTGGCCATTTTGGGGAAAAAAATTTAATTTAATTTAACTGGAAACATCAAAAAATGAATGAATAAATGTAGATTTCATGCCTTTTCATCATTTTAAGAGGAATATATGCTTTTTTTATGAACTTAGTACATTTCTAAATAAAATCTGTTAATCAGTTCTACAAAGGATGCAAAGTATTAGTGACAGAGAAAAAGTATATCCTTAAAGTTTGTTACATGTTTAAAGGGCACAGTTGTTCTAGAGACACCTTTAGAAATGTCCAAGATAGCCTTTTGTGGAATTATTTATCATAGCATATTAAAAAGTCAATTTATTAAATACCAATAAAAAGGACCATGTATGTAGATTTCTTTATCAAAGTTATTACAGCTCCTTCCCTACTTCCATATGGGTATGGACGTTCCTATAGGAGTCACTGATGATGCTGATCATGTGCTGGTCCAGGCCCCTTTCCCGCAGCACCCACATGATGTGATCGTGGGATACTGAGTCAAAAGCTTTGGCTATATCTAAAAATACGATATTTTGACACTAAACTGGGAGGAGTGGTAGATATGCTGGATGGTAGGGATAGGATACAGAGAGACCTAGACAAATTGGAGGATTGGGCCAAAAGAAAGCTGATTAGGTTCAACAAGGACAAGTGCAGAGTCCTGCACTTAGGACGGAAGAATCCAATGCACCACTACAGACTAGGGACCGAATGGCTAGGCATCAGTTCTGCAGAGAAGGACCTAGGGGTGACAGTGGATGAGAAGCTGGTTATGAGTCAACAGTGTGCCCTTGTTGCCAAGAAGGCCAATGGCACTTTGTATAAGTAGGGGCATTGCCAGCAGATTGAGGGATGTGATCGTTCCCCTCTATTCGACATTGGTGAGGCCTCATCTGGAGTATTGTGTCCAGTTTTAGGGCCCCACACTACAAAAAGGATGTGGAAAAATTGGAGAGAGTCCAGCGAAGGGCAACAAAAATGATTAGGGGTCTGGAACACATGATTTGAGGAGAGGCTGAGGGTACTGGGATTGTTTAGTCTACAGAAGAGAAGAATGAGGGGGGATTTGATAGCTGCTTTTAACTACCTGAAAGGTGGATCCAAAGAGGATGGAGCTAGACTATTCTCAGTGATAGCAGATGACAGGACAAGGAGTAATGGTCTCAAGTTGCAGTGGGGGAGATTTAGGTTGGATATTAGGAAAAACTTTTTCACTAGGAGGGTGGTGAAACACTGGAATGCGTTACGTAGGGAGGTGGTGGAATCCCCTTCCTTAGAAGTTTTTAAGGTCAGACTTGACAAAGCCCTGGCTGGGATGATTTAGTTGGGGATTGATCCTGCTCTAGGCAGGGGGTTGGACTAGATGACCTCCAGCGGTCCCTTCCAACTCTGATATTCTATGATTCTATTCAAAATTATCAGTTGGCCTTTTTTCCACCAGTCTTGAACATGTCTACTGCCCCACACTATTAGACATATTTGGAGTAGAAATAAGAGTAGTGGGACAAATGTATCCTAATCTCTTCCTCTTTCCCTTTCTACCTCCTCTGTGATGACATAAGGGTGAAAACAGAGGAGCAAAAAAGTGGTCCCTGTAAAGCCCATAATGATTAGGAGAATTTTAAAACGCATCTCCCTTAAAAGAGAAGTATTTCTCTATAGTGCAAGTTGCTTCAAGGACTTCCCAGAAAATAGCTAAAATAAATAAGTTGACCTAAAGGGAGAACAAGAGAAAAAATCCTGTTCTTCTAACATGTGAAAAAATGTATAGATATTTCCATCAAGTTATGACCAAATGATGTTTAAAAGATCACCTTTTTCTTTTTTGTTGTCATATGAGACTACTTGGGGCTGCAACGGAACACTTTAGAATAATAAGTGTTATTATTCTAGAATAAGAATAAGTTTAGCCTTTCCTTGTGTAAGGACACCCCTGGAGTAATCATCTGCAGGGATTGAATCTGAGACCTCTGGATTTAAAAGAATAGACTCTACTGCTAGTGAAAATGGACCTTCTCCATTAGTTTGGCGGCATTATCAGACTAATAAAGTAGTCAAATCACAAGAGAGGGGCCAAAAGCCACACTGTTAGCATGGATTACACTTATATTTACTTTATCTGTTTCTGTCTGTCTTGCTTACATGGTTCTCATCTAGGCATCTAAGTGCCTATGATTCTGGTGTTATGTTTTGGTTTGTTGTTTGAGCTTTGATTTTTTTCAACCTTTAGGACCAAATGTTAAAACATAGTCACATAACCTTTGCACCCACTGGCAAAATGCTGCACATAAAACATCTACTTGAGTACACACGTGTGTTTTCCATGTGCCGCAGCTCGCAGATTTTGTGGGCACAACATACAATTCCATAAAGGTGTGTTATTTTTTTTAATTTCTAAACTTTTACAGATAAGCCATTAATCTTTTTTTAAAATATGTAAGTTTTCCTGTAAGAACTGTCAGTGCTAGATCATCAACACATTAATGTCAGGGAGATATCAGTTTTACGAATAATATTATTTCTTTCAGTTACTAATTCACAAAAAATTAGAAATTCTAATTGATTATTCCTTTTTTTTTCCTTTAGGCGCTCTGCTTTCTGACATTGTTAATGCATTTGAAAATTACTTCTCACCTACACTCTTCAGAGTCATTCGGTTGGCTGAGATTGGACGAATATTAAGACTTGTCCGAGCTGCCAAAGGAATTAGAACTCTCCTTTTTGCCTTAATGATGTCCCTTCCTGCTCTGTTCAACATTGGTCTCCTCCTTTTTCTGGTCATGTTTATTTATGCCATTTTTGGCATGGCTAACTTTGCTTATGTTCCATGGGAGAGTGGGATTGATGACATGTTCAACTTCCAAACCTTTGCTAACAGCATTCTTTGTCTCTTCCAAATGACAACATCTGCTGGCTGGGATGGTCTTCTCAGTCCTATTTTAAACACTGGACCTCCGTTTTGTGATCCTAACATACGAGGTGCTGTGGGAGAATGTGGTAAACCTGCTGTGGGTATTATTTTCTTTGTAAGTTACATCATTATATCATTTCTAATTGTTGTAAACATGTATATAGCTGTTATTTTAGAGAACTTCAACGTTGCCACTGAGGAAAGTACAGATCCTGTAGGTGACGATGACTTTGATATGTTTTATAAAATCTGGGAGAAGTTTGATCCTGAAGCAACTCAATTTATTGAGTATTCTGCACTTTCAAACTTTGCAGATGCTTTGGCAGAACCTTTACGTGTAGCCAAACCAAACAAAATTGAGCTCCTGGCAATGGACCTTCCCTTGGCCAGCGGAGATAGGATTCACTGTTTGGATATTTTGTTTGCTTTTACCAAACGGGTGCTAGGAGAATCTGGGGAAATGGACAAACTAAAAGAACAGACGGAGGAAAAGTTTATGGCTGCCAATCCATCTAGGTTTTTTCATGAACCAATCACAACCACGCTCAGACACAAAGAAGAGGAGGTTTCTGCCATTATTATCCAGAGGGCCTATAGGAGTCATTTGATTCAACGGTCCATGAAGCAGGCCTCTCTCTTATATCATAGAACTTGTGATGGTGACATCCTTGAAGATGCTTCACAGAAGGAAGGTCTCATTGCATTCATGGTGAATGAAAATTATGGTAAGAATCTAGACAAGTCCGAGACTGTGTCTTCCACGTCTTTCCCTCCATCCTATGACAGTGTCACCGGGGACACTAATGACAACCTCCAGGTAAAGACGGCGGACTCTTCCAAATGTGATGTACCTATAGGTTGTCGGCTATCTCCAGACAAAGATAAAGAATCCATTGTTTAATATTTTGTTAATAATGCTTTAAAATATTCACAGAATATAATGATGTAAATATACAGCAACCGAAGCAGCCTTCTTTTTAAACATTAGTTGCAAAAGAAACAAGGGTGGTTCTACCCTTAACTATGGGAGTTCATAAGCTGTCACCTTTGACCCTGCTACATTCAACTTTACTCAATGTTTATATTTAGATATACCTAGGAAGAATCTGTGTAGAGTAATAACTGTTATTTTGGTGGCAGTCGTGAATTAAGGCAGAATCCTTGGTATCTTGTTACTATGGCCCAGACACAGAGCTGATTAGAGCTGCACTTTGCTTACTTCTGCTAACCGAACACCCACCCACTTAGATTGGTTTGCCTCATTATGGACCAAGTTCAAGAAGTGGAAAATAAGTTTCAAGATATCTGGAAAGAAATAGCTGTCTGGGAAAGGGGTGGGAGAAAATGTAATGGTTTTTGAGGGTTTTGAAGTAGGGAGGGGCAGGAGAAATTTAGCATAATTAACACTTTGATAATAAACCTGGTAGACTAATGACTCCCAATCTTTTCAGTTCTGTGACCCACATATCATAAACATTGCTATTGCATGACCCACGGATATGTCAAACTGTACTGGAACTCCTCCAATATGATGAATTTAAACAATAGCCATGGTATGTATACTATTATAGTCAAGTTACTGCAGTATAATGACATAATAAATGTAATACTTAACATTCCAGAAACAGAAATGAATTACATTAGAATATTTTTTTTACACAAAACTGAACTGCTTTTCCTCTGGAATTATGAAGTTGACATCTTTATCTTCACCATGTTTTCTTTCTAAAAATCTTTGTGACTCTTATGACATCATGATATCATTAGCTGGCACTTCTCCACAACAAACTCTACACCTTGGCCTGCCTTCAGTCTCTTCTACCATGTGTGTAAATACTTATTTGAGATACATGGGTTCATACTTTCTGTATGAACCATTTTGCTTTTCCTTTACTGATTTGTCTTCCTTTCTGTTGCATTGCCAGGTATTCAGAGCCACAAGACCACTCAAGTCTCTCTTGACACTTACATTCCATATTTAAAACTGTTAATTGTATATGTAAATCACTTTTCAAGATAAGATTAAAAAAAGTGGCAAGATTCATGTGACTATCAAGGGTAACTGGTCCAGGGGAAGCACAGCTTTCCTTTCTTCCCCACAGTGTTTTCAGACAGAAAAGAAGCTTGGCTTTGTGGCTGAGGCCCTGGACTGAGACTCTGATCTGGGTTCACTTCCTTGCTTGGCTACAGACTTTCCATGTGACCATAGGCAAATCACATTTGACTGCAGTGCAGATGTACCTTAATCTCTCTTTCACTCAGTTCCCCCTCTATAAAATGGGAATAATAATATTTCCTTTAATAAATCTCCCTTTTCCCCACTTTTGTCTATCTATTTAGATTGTGAGCTCTTTGGGCAGGGACTGGCTCTTACTATGCATATGTACAGTGCCTTGCACAATGTGGTCCCAGTCTTAATTGGGGCTTCAAGGTACTATTTGAATACAAAAAATAATAAATAATATTTGTAATGCCTTTTATCTTTCTTTCTCTCTGTTTTATTCCCCCCTGCTTCTCCTGGTGTAAATGGTCTCTTACTATGGAGTTTTGGGCCCATGCTGTAACTTTCTCCCTATATTTCGAAGCTAGACACCATGGGCAGTATCCTTTATTGGTGTGAATCAGCATAGTTTCATTGAAGTCTGTGACTCTGTACTATTGAAATCAGTGGAACTATTCTGCTGACCATTCACTGCTCCGGCCCTGGCCGCTGCTTTGGCCTCAGACCTAGCCCAACCGCTGCTCTGGCCCCTGACCCAGCCCAGCCACTGCTCCAACCCCAGCGGCTGACCACTGTTCTCTGCCCCAGCCCCTGACTGCTGTTCTAAAATACCCTCCAAAAGCAGTCAGATTTAAATTCCTGCACACGTCCTTGTATGAAGTAGGTACCTGCCCCATCTTGTGCACTGCACACATACAATATTGAGCATTCTGCACACCAGCGATCTTGCACTTGTCAAAGCTTTGAATTATGTGTAAGTCTATGAAGCCCCCATCCTCATCCCACCTCACGAAAATGTACAATTACAAGCATTTCCTTTTCATTTGTAACCCTGGCTGGGAGACTAGCCAACATTCATCTTTACCCTTCTGTTAAACAAGCAGGAGACTCTGGGACACCAAAAGAACATAGATTCATATGTTTGTATGTTAAGGGCAGAAGGGACCGTTATGCTTACCTCTTCTGATCTCCTGCATAACACTGGCCATAAGACTTCTCTGAATTAATTCCTGCTTCATGGCCAATTGTGATTGAACTAGAGCTTATCTAACCAATCTTGATTTAAAAATTTACAGAGATGGGGAATTCACCACAACCCTTGGTTCCCTCACTTAAAAAAGCACCTTATTCCTAGTCTGAATTTCTCTGGCTTCAATATCCAGACATTGGATTTTGTTATCCCTTTGTCTGCTAGCCCTCTATTAAATATATTCTCCATGTAGGTACTTATACACCATGATCAAGTCACCTCTTAACGTTTTCTTTGATAAACTAAACAGTTTGAGCTCCTTCAGCGTCTAATATAAGGCATGTTTTTCAATCCTTGAATCATTCCTGTTACTCTTTTTTTAATTCTCTTCAATTTTTCAACATCCTTTTTGAAGTGTGGATATCGGAAGCAGTAGTCCAGCAGGTTTCAGAGTAACAGCCGTGTTAGTCTGTATTCGCAAAAAGAAAAGGAGTACTTGTGGCACCTTAGAGACTAACCAATTTATCTGAGCATGAGCTTTCGTGAGCTACAGCTCACTTTTGCACCAGTGCTAAATACAGAGGTAATATAACGTCCCTACTCGATAATCCCCTATTTATGCATCCAAGGATTGCATTGGTCCTTTTTGCCACAATATCACATTGGGAGCTCATATTCTTGTGATTATCTACCATTATCGCCAAGACTTTTTCAGAGTTGCTGCTTCCCAGGATAATCTCTCCCATCCTGTAAGTATGGCCTGTTCTTTTTTGCATTAAGCTATATTGAACTACACATTGTTTGCTTATGCCCAGCTTACCAGGCGATCCAGATCACACTGTATCAGTGGCCTCTTCGTTAGTTACCACTCCCCCAATCTTTGTGTCATCTGCAAACTTGATCCGTAATCATTTTGTTTTCTTCCAAGTCATTAGTAAAAATGATTAAATAGCAAAAGACCAAGAACTGATTCCGGCACGACTCCACTAGAAACACACTTGCTTGATAACATTTTGTGGTATCAGTTAACCTCTGACTGTGATGGAGCTCCAGTAAATATCTCCATAGGAAAAGGAAGTGAAAACCCCCACAACCAGCGATACCACAGCTCTCCTCAGTATACCTCATCTCACTAGCTTAAGTGGACACACCTTTGACAGAAAATTATAGTAATCACCGCGCTAATTTCCTTTCACATGAACACCCTGATCAGAACATGAATTAATGGAAAGATTTTTGGACCACTTAGCAATAACCTGTAAACACCCACTTCTGTTAGTTATATCAGCAGCTATACCATGGGATAGACTTGAAACTGGAATGCTCTGTTGAGATTAGCATTATTAAACGGGACCAATCTGATTATCTAGTCCATTGTTTCTCAACTGATGGATTGCAACCACCGGGGAAGCCATGAAAGGCAATCAGGGGGTTAGAAGGTGGTAGAAATTTTATTACAATCTAAAACAAAGAAAATCTCACTCTTACTTCCTGCACAAACTTGCCTTTCAAGTTAAAGTTTTATCTGTCCACTTTTCAAAACACATAAATTACATAGGCTTACCATTGTTCCCACTGATACATTTTTACTCTTAATTTTATAGAAAATGTAAAGGGGGTTGTGAAAATTCTTGTCTTCAAATAAGGGGTCACCAACCTGAAAAGGCTGAGCAACACATAGCTATCTGAGCTCCTGCATGGCACAGGTCATAGAATTTCACTCAGTGATTCCTCCAGTGAGCCCAGTAACTTGTAATTGAACCAGACGGAGCATACTCTCCATCTTGATTTAAATTTGACTAAAATTACAAGACAATTAGTTCTGGAGTAATTTAGAATCTGAGAATATTAGCAGTGGGTGGCATGAAACTAGAAATGCAGGATAGATAAACGTTAAACTTGTTGAACACTTCCACCTAGTGGTTTTGGTTAAAATTACATATAAAGAGAAACTTTCGTAACCTTTGGTTTCAGAGTAGCAGCCGTGTTAGTCTGTATCCGCAAAAAGAAAAGGAGTACTTGTGGCACCTTAGAGACTAACAAATTTATTTGAGCATAAGCTTTCATGAGCTACAGCTCACTTCATCAGATGCATGCAGTGGAAAATACAGTGGGGAGATTTTATATATACAGAGAACATGAAACAATGGGTGTTACCATACACACTGTAAGGAGAGTGATCAGGTAAGGTGAGCTGTTACCAGCAGGAGAGAAAAAAACAAAAACCTTTTGTAGTGATAATCAAGGTGGGCCATTTCCAGCAGTTGACAAGAAAGTGTGAGGAACAGTGGGGGGGGGGGAGGCGAATAAACATGGCACACCCCACGTCACTCAGAGGGAGGAAGAAAGCATTAGTGCTCGAGCCCTAACCCACTTTCATACTTACACATGCACAACCCAAGGCTGGCCAAGCCGGAGTGTAATATAAGAAGAAGAGGGGGAAGGGTAGATGAGAGTTCTGCCCTGTGCACAGGTCGTCTAGGGTCCGCTGTAAATCTTCATCTTGCTTCAGCTCTCAGGAGGGTTTTAAGCCCTGGGTTCTTCTGAGGGTATTTAATCCAGGGGCCCCTGTCCCCCATGCTCTCTGTACCAGTCCGAACCAGCCTTCTGCAGCTTTTTTGGCTTCTCCAAAACACACCAGTTTCAGGGTTGCAAGACTGTTGTGTTCCCACTCGCTGGCCTTCACAATTTTATTAGTTTTCCAACCCTTTCAGTTCTGTCTGGCTCAGTTTTTTTTTTTTCTCACGGCTGGCCAGGGTTGGGATACAGGCTTCCGGCTGTTTGGCAGTAGAGAGCCTGTTTGTGCGCGCTGGCCTTGGGTTGCAGTTTTGTTCCTTATTTTGGGGCCTCACTGGATCATTATGTTAACCAGTTCCTTTTTCCCTTCCTCCCCCTTCGGCCTCTTGTAACCTGCAAAGAAATCTTCCATTGCACATTCACACCTTTAACCCTTCCCAAGATACTTCCCAGTGCATATAGAAGCGTTAGCAATGTACAGCGCTGGTGCTTACCCAGGGGACCCCATGGGAGCGGGAGCATTTTATTGTGACACCCTCCCCACACACCTCAGCCCCCAAACTCCCTCCCAGATCCTGCATACCCCCTCCCCCTATACCTCTCCTGCCCCCAACTCCCTACGAGAGCCTGCAACCCCACCCCCTGTCCCAGCCCAGAGCCTGCACCTCCGACCCCTCCCCCACCCAAACTCCCTCCCAGAGCCCAACCTCTCACCCCTTCTGCACCCCAATCCCCTACCCCAGGCCTCCTTCCCCACCCAAACTCCCTCCCAAAGCCTTAGGCAGGTGAGGGGGCGGAGTTTTTGGGGGGGCGGGTTCTGGGCAGCATGAGTAACATTATTGGCCTGCTGGGAGGATTTAAGGACTGGCACTGGCCCTAAGGTAAATTGAGTTTGAGACCCCTGCACTACATGATCTTGGGAGTGAGTGAATTCCTTTCTCCAAAGAAGGAGTAAAGGAAAGAAAAGAGCCCCACCAGACTGCTAGAGTAGTGAGTGAGTGGGGAAAGTGGGAAACTGGGGCGGAGACTTTGAAAGCTGCAGCAGGAAGGAGGCACAGTCATGGAACCCATAGCATAAATGGCTCTGTTACAGAAGTTTGATTTTTGGCAACTCAGGCAGCTGGCCTTGCTGGACCCAGAGATTTGAGCAATTCTAGATGGCTTCTGATTTAACAGAGAGAACACAAGAATACCAGGTAAACGCCCTGATATTTGCCCGGGAAGCTGCTGCTGTGGACATCCTCTGTGCCCTATCCCTCACTGATGAGGAAAGAGAGAATTCACTCAAGTGAGCTTTTGGTGCCCTTTTCATAGGCAGACAGAATGCTGTATACAAGAGAGTTAAATTTAACAGGCGGTTATGACGCTATGAGCCTATCAGGGCCCACTAGCGGAGGGCCCACGGTAACGTAATTCATATCAGGCCTGACACAGGCACTACCCCCAACGCAGTCTTGCCATAAGACGTATCTGGAAGGTGTCACGTAAGGGATCATTTGTAAACTGTGGATATGCTGAACACCAAAATCCCTGTGCGATACATGTCTGGGTTGTGTATAAGGAGTTATATGTGCGTAGTGGAAATGTGTTCTTAAAGTGTGTCTGGGAGGCAGTGTACACATCGAGCCCACCTTACACAAGGGAATGTGGCTTCCCCTGTCTGACTATCTTGTTTACAGGCAGAAGACAATGAAAGTATATTTACATACA